TGTAGAGTTGCTACTGTTATTAAAGAAAATAACTATCCAACATGATATTAATGTATATAGATAGATAACATTTACTTTAATGTTAGGGGATATTAAAGTTCGCAACCCGCATCCAGTGTATATTTTTTTAAATACAATGACAAGTTGGTCGTCGTGTGTAACATATTTAATCTCCTATTATATAAATTTTTGGTTAACCCCTGTATTTGTAGGTTTTTATTGTTATTGGATGTGCACAGGAAATTCTTTTTTCAAGTTCGCGTCCTCGACATGGGTTCCGAGAAACGAAACAAAGAAGAGGTTGGGCAAGATGAAATAAAGAGACCTCGCCTTAGTGAACAATCAGCTACCAAAACTAGCTCAAGTTCCCTGTATTTAGATACAGTGAGTACACCGCTACCGCTATTAGCATACTACTGCGACCTGGGAAAATGACTCAATATCTAGAGAACTTCATAATTCGCGTTTCTAAACAAATAAACCTCTTAATAGATAAATCGTCATATGTTAGATTTTGATTTTGAGAAGGTCTGTTCGGTTTCTCTGTCAAATTTAAACGTATATGCCTGTTTGGTGTGCGGTAAATACTTTCAAGGTGAGAAGTTTAATAGTCGTCATAAGCCAGTGTCTCAATGATTCGTGTCCTTTGAGTTGATGCAAAGTATTCTTTTGCAGGACGTGGTCGTAATTCACATGCATATTTTCATAGTTTACATGAAGATCACCACGTTTTCATTCATCTACACGAGTTGACGGTGTGTTAAACAATTCGTTCTCTATCCACTCCGCCTTTCTTGTACGGACCGGTGACTTAATATCTTATGTTTCAGGTGTACGTCTTACCTGATGGATATGAGGTCAAAGATTCCTCTTTAGATGATATCAGAGTATGGTTAGATTTAGATTTCACTCATCGTCTTGTCTCGTGTGAGCGTGTTTATCTCACAACTAATACTTAAATTGATCGCTTTGCGGAATTAGTATGTGCTCCATCCGACATTCACCAAGGAGCAAGTCTCCCAATTAGACCAGAATATCAAACATTCATACGACTTGAATAATAAAAAATATTTACCAGGTACGTTATTCGTCTATAGATTTCGACTTATTTGACCGGACCATCTAATCCTGCCTACAACCGCCCTTTGCCAGGATTTGTCGGTCTCAATAACGTCAAAGCAAACGACTACGTTAACGTGGTAATACAAGCGTTGGCGCACATTCCTCCGCTTCGGGATTATTTCATTTTACAAAATTTCGATAAAAAGTCTCAGTTAGGTAGGCGTCAGAGTGCCCATCTTTGCATTCTGATGGTCACATCTTATTTCAATTTCTGGAAATTTTTATTCAAAAATTGCCAGTTCAGCGGTTCAGTACGCTTGTTCGAAAAATTTGGAATCCAAGAGCTTTCAAAGGTCAAGTCAGTCCTCACGAGTTACTCCAGGAAATTTCCAATGCTAGTAACAAACGTTTCAAGCTTTCCGAGCAAAGCGATCCCATTGACTTTCTGTGTTGGTTTCTGAACACCCTGCACCGAGATTTGGGCGGAACAAAGAAATCGAACAGCAGTGTGTATTTTTTGAACACAACGCGCAGTCTCGAATTAGATTGGAACATGCAAAAATCCGGACGAACTTATTATATCTATTTTATTGCTTTGCTCCGTCTATAAATTTATAGGTATAATTCATAAAATATTTCAGGGGGAGGTTAAGGTCGAGTCCCAGTTGGTGGTTGTGAAATCGGACACCGGGGAAAAGGATCGATTGTCTTTTGACGTTGATCGAGGTAGTAGTTGATGCGATCATAAGAGTTCCCGCATTTTGTCCCGAGAGCATCATCTTTATTAACATTTGTTCAACGTGACGATAAAGAAATCGAGATGACACAGTTACCATTCATCCTGTTAAGTTTGGATTTACCTCCACCACCCTTGTTCCAGGATGAAGTCGAAAAAAATATCATTCCACAAGTAATTGCATTTGATTTTGAGACAAACGCGATTCAATAGGAGCAGTCACATTAAACATTCTCTCTCAGATTTCATTGGCGACAATACTCTCAAAGTATGATGGCCGTACCCCTCAGGTATTATCTCTGCGTGCACCCTCCTACCAAAAATATTGTATGACCGGTTACGTCGATTGCAGGAATCGGCCGGAACGCTGAAAAGTTCACAACTTATTCGACTACCCAACTACCTTATCTTCCACATCAAGCGTTTCACCAAGAATAACTGGGCCGCGGAGAAGAACCCAACCATCGTTAATTTCCCCATTAAAAACCTGGATATGCGAGACTGTGAGCGTCCGTTTTTCCACCATACTATCACGAGAATATTCTTTTATTAATGTCACATTCGACCATTGTAGACTTGGAAAACCCTAACGAAGAACAGTTCAGCACATATTACGACATGATTGCTAACATTTGTCACGAAGGAAAGCCGGGAAAAGGGAAGGGGACGTACAGAGGTAAATTTACTTTTAAATCGGGACGACAACGATTCAAAAATTGAGAATTTCTTCGTTCTTCAGTACACGTTCAACACCGCGGTTCCAAGGATCAATGGTTTCAAATTCAGGACCTGATTGTTGAAGAGATAAATGCCCACATGATATTTTTGTCTGAAAGTTACATTCAGGTCAGTGGTTGCTTGAATTGTCGCATTTCCTCAGTTTTTTCCGAGAAACCCGCTCATTGCATCCGACATTCATCAGATCTGGGAACGGAAGGTACAAAATATGGATATGGAAATCGACTAGAGCCTTCTTTTGTCTGTAGGTATGTGACTTCATTCAGTTTTCCAGATTCGAGTCGTTAAGAGATTTTTTTTTTTTTTTTTTTCATTCTTTGGTTGAGTCAGTTTTAACAAAGTTTTGCTATTATCATAAAATATAAAAATCCCAATATATTCTATCGAGTGTGCGTATGGTCATGCATGTAATGATCGACCAATAAAATTTTAGCATATTTATTATGTCACCCTAAAGGCAGATCACGAGTGGTGCCACAAAAATGCAGAATAAATATAAATGCAGCAATTTTCTCCGATATTTCTTAGCCCTTTTTTTGAAATTTAATTTTCGTTGAACATGAATCAACAGAGGAGAATAATTCCAATGAATGTTCCCGGCTATCCGGAACAATATAGTCCAAGTCCTTTCCCACCAGGAGTGCAACGGTATCCATACCAACCCATGCAATATCCCGTCGGGCAACAACAGGTTCGTTTGTGTCTTGAGGATTTTCCGTCTCGCGTCGGCTATCACAACACGCCAAAGTCTTGGCGAATAGTTATGATAGTCTTAGTTTCATAAGTGTAAGCACTCTCGGTGCACCCGAAAGTCCGATATCTCAAATTTTCTAGAGTTTTCCTATGTACAGTCAGCATACCATACTTCCAACATAATACCAGTTAGTGTAACTGTGTCGGTCTGCATATCTATATAGCCAACTTTATACGGCACGAAATTCAATTAAGACCTCCCAAGGAGAACCCTGTCCAGGATTAACGCACTGAAGCTTGCGTTCAATTCCGACAACCTTTTCTTCCCAAAAATAGTCTTAACACTCTCAATCATTTTTTGCACAACTCTTGTCTTTATTAGTTCTTACAACAAAACCTTCAACCACTGCAACCAAAAATGGCTAATCCTGTGCAGTCTCGTCAAATGCAGATGGCCAACACTTCAATGATGATGACCAATCAGGCGACCATCATTAGAAAACGTACCAATCCTGATGCCGCCGCGATCAACGCTCAACAAGTCAAGTAGGTTCACCATCATTCCACTTGAAACCATGATCCTTTTTACGATCACTAATCGTTTTCACCGAATTTCCGCAGAAAAAAGCGAGCACTCGATAGAAGCATACCAGAAAAGGTTTTATTTTATGGTGGTCACTCGCCGTCGAGATTAGCCAAGATCAGTGCGCAAAGTGCTTAAATATTTTTTTTTTCACAATAGCTCGACACGCTTGTACATGAATCACGGTTGTACACCGAACTTCAGGAATTCGAGAGAAGATTGGATGCCACAATCATAAGGAAAAAAATGGAAATTACCGAGTCTCACTCGAAACCTATGAAGGTAGATCGGGTCAAATGCTCTCATCGTCCCACCCTTTTGTCGTTGTATAATGACCGTCAATATTATCAGGTCAAGCGCACACTTCGTGTGTTCGTGTCAAATACTTCATCAAACCAGCAACCGGTTCAGGGGGAAGGGGAGAATGAACTTGAATACGGTGATGGGAGCAATATCCCGGCATGGACACTCAAAATCGAGGGAAGATTGCTCGACGTAAGGATGGTGATGCACTCGTGAGCCTCTATACTTTCAACGATCGTGATTCACAAATTTCAACGAAATCAATTTAAAATATTTAGGCACCGAATGCTCCAAAGACCACCAGACCTTATAACCATAAATTCTCTCATTTTTTCAAATCCGTTATTGTTGAGTTAGACAGAGATCCAGAGTTATATCCCGAAGGAAGTCTGATAGAAGTAGGAGAGTTCACCATTCATTGGTTTGGCAGTTTATTGTTTTTGAGGGTAATGGGTGTCTATATTATGGATCGAATCTAATAGTGGAACAAAACTCCTGATGCCGAAGAAGTTGATGGGTTCGAAATTAAGCGTAAAGGAGACGTCAACCTCAAGGCAAAGATCTATCTGAATATTGATCAGCAACCGCCGAGGTACAAATTATCCCCCGAACTGTCGGAAATTTTGGATATAAAAGAGGACACGAAATCCGGAATCATAATGACCTTGTGGCAATATATGAAGGTTTGCTCGAAAGGGAACAACTTCTTTTATTTTGATGTTATCGCATGTTCAACGCTCGAAAATAAAAAATTTTTTTTTTTTAATTGCCAGCATAATAATCTTCAAGACAGTGAGGACAAAAGGATTATTAACAACGATGCTCGTTTATTTGAAGTTGGTTTCTCACATCATTTGACAATGGAATACAATAAAGATAAGGTTCTTGATCACTAATCCTCTTTCTCCTTCTTCCACCTTTCTTCCCCTTTCCCTGGACAGGTTTTTAAGGTTCCGCGGATCGCTTTCCCGCAGATTCCCGAGCTTATCAACAAACATCTGCTTCCCGTCGATCCTATATCTATAGATTATACCATTCGGTAGGTGATTTTCACCTTCCTAGAACGTTACCGCCTTTCCATTGAATTCGGTAGTTACCTTTTCTTCACAACAATGCACGAAAGAGTCGACAAAGAATTCCACCAGTCTCGATACGCTTACGACATCGAGGTTGAAGTCGATGATCCAAATAAAGCAAAACTTTCCATTCCAACAAGCATGGCCAACCAAAAAGAGATACAAAGTCTAGATGATAAGGTTGCTTTGCGTTCATCTTTACGCAAAAATTTTTTTCCGGGAGTTGACATCCACTTTTTAATAATTCATTGCAGATTGCACAGTGCGTTCAAAGCATTAACAATTCCAAGACGAAACGTGACTTTTTGTTAAATTTTGCCACCTCACCTGTGGAATTTATCAACAAGTGGATCGCCAGTCAGAGTCGTGATTTGGAGGTATTATTTTTGATGATATTGTTCATTTCATTTTCCTAGAGTGTGAGAATAAATGAGGTTTGATTGATTTAATGTGGAAGGTCATTTTGGGAGAGAGCAAAGTTAACCTCGAGGAACAACGACGATCAGAGTTTTACAAACAAGGATGGGTTAACGAGGCCATCTTTCATTATACCACGGCACAGGTATGACCCGGATGTTTATAGTGCGCGATAGATTGATTCATGTTAAATCGATTCACCGACATCCTCATGACGCATTTATTTTATTATACGTGTATGCAGGCACAAAGAAAAATGCACGAGCAAAGGCTGACAAACAAATAAGTGTCAGATCTGAAAATTTTGATGACCCTCGTTTTTTAAAGTGTTTGACGTGAAGACTCCTTGTCGTGCGAAAGTTGTTGATCGGGAGATATGATAAACAACGACTCCCAAATTTAAATCCCAACAATAACATGTAATATAATTATATAAAAGCAAAACAATGTATGACCCCTAACGAATTCATTTTAAAATTAAAATGACCGTTTCCTTTTTTGGCTAGACCTTAATTGAGTACATAACGAATTAACGAGATGTGGTAGTGATGCTAATGTATTACGATGAAACAGTACGTGTACGTGTGCACTCAATTGTTTGCATCTGGAAGTTGTACGAGATAACTTATTATTGATAAATTTTGGGTTCACGACGCTGAGGATGCTTTTCACCACATCTCGCCTCTTAAAGTTTACAATTTTCACCTTCCTTCTTTCCAACGGCATTTCTCGCGCTCATCCCGACACCGTAAATGTCGATTTTTACATAATTTGTCTGCTTAAGAAAAAGGAAAAACTTTAGAATCGTTGCGCTTCATCTACCTATTCCGAATCAAGCCTTCCTTCTGTGTTTTTTTTTTTTTTTTTGCGCATTTTAAATTCACCTCGGACCCCTGGCGACACTGGACGAAAAAGTATTGACTCTTTAGTTGCAACCCGTTCTTCTTCAAAGATGCCTTTACTAGGAAAGATTAAGTCTCAGTACGAAATGTGGAAAATTAACAAATACACTAGACGCCGATCCACGTTGACGCAAGACTTCGAGCAAAAAGACTTGGACTTTTACAAACAGAACTACGTGAACGGCGTGTATTTAAACACGGCACCTGATTCCGAGGATTTCAAGAGAAGCTCCATGAGCTTTGGAAAGAAACCCGGAAAAAATCGAAAGGCCGCGAAATGTAGTGAGTCGTATAACTCCTATTGAGAAAATGGTAATGTACAGTATACAGTATATATATATATATATATATATACGGTATATAATATATTGCGGCGAACTGAATTATCTTTCCATTGGTAAGTCAATTGGTAATTAAAAGCAAGGTCTCGCTTTCTTACCATTTATTCCATCTCCTCCATCCATATACTGTATACTCTACATAGTGGTTATTATATATCATGCATGCTAGCGATGTAACCCCACGTTATTCAAATAATCATTCAACATGTTTACGCGCGCACACACACACATATCCATTTCATTTTTTTTTTTTTACATTATTTAAATTCATCTCACTTTTTCCATCGACGCATTTCAATATGTACTTTTACCTATAGAAGGGAAGATTTTTTCGCAAAAACTTAAACCTGTAAATAAAGCAAATTGTCACTAAACACTTTATCGTGATGGCTTTAACCAATCCACTACTGGTCGGTCGCTCAATGACCTCCTAATCACAATTATTTGTCTCGTGTTTGAATATGTATTGCTGAGGAGTTCATAAATTTGGTCTTTATCAAGTCGTCAACGATTTGAAGAAGAAATATTTTTCTTTCTATAATTAGTTTACTTTAAATAACTTTATTTCACTGTACTTGCCATTTAAATATTAATACGACGCCCAATATTTTTTATTGCATATACAGTGTATTAAAAATAAGAAAAAATGTCAAAAAAATAAAATGTTTAAATGGAAGATCGTATTTTATAACAAGTACAATAGTGCGTGTCGTATACACCGTAGATGATAGGCACGCATTGTCATTATTTTAGGATTAGAATATTAATCGATAATAAGGTATAGTTGGCATTTCTCCCTGCCTATCCTCGGAAGATCTATCAGGATCGAGGTTGAAGTGATCTACCAATCAAATAATACGGGTTTCCCTTCGTATGCATTCAATTGCTCCGAAGAGATATTTATTGTTTCATTGTTGGATTACAATGACTCGTTTTGCTGTGGTGCTTCATTCATTGCTATTTGACGTTCTATATTCGGTCATATAACTTATTGTGAGGAAAGGAAAATCTATGTTAAGCTTCGTATGAATGAGAGAAAACATTGAGGGTGTGAAACTGTCGATATGCATATGTAAAAAAAAAAAATATATATGTAATAATGGAAAAGGGCACAACTGAAAGAGGGAGATTGTGATCGAATTATTAGATTAGGGTTACTATACAAATGCACCTATGCTCCCTTTTTTCTCTGTGCAAGTTAAATAATCGATTTGAACTAATCGTTTAATTAATTAATAAACCTCCAAAATGTATCGCTCCAAATCCTTTAGCTTATTGATACAATCTATCGCCTCGCCCTCTGATAAACCTCCGACCGTCACGAAACTGTTCACGATCGCGTCTCTCACATCTGGCACTGGCCACGTGGGACCGCACAAGTAGAACCATCCTTCATCTTTTAATAAGTATTGGTGTAATAGATTAGCATCCTCATTCATCTTGTGTTGGATGTAGACCTTGTGCGGTTGATCACGAGAGAATGCCAACTGAAGATGCGAAAGCAATCCTTCGGAGTGATAGGCTTCAAGTTCCTCGCCATAGAGGTATTCCATGGACTTGTTGCGAGAACCAAAGTAAAGAACCATTGGTCCGACCTCTTTTCCCTGTGATTTGCGATAAGCTCGCTCTTCGATAAATGCGCGGAAAGGCGCCATTCCTGTACCGAGACCTGCCATTATAACTGGTTGTGTGTCTCGCGGAGGAAGCTTCATGACTGACGGCTTTATGGAGACTGTAACTTGCTCTCCAATTTTGAGACCAGATAAATAACGCGTGCATTGACCGAATCGTTTTTTACCAGCCGAGTTAACCCAATCGACCGTCACCACCAACAAATGTACGCCATTAGGATGAATACTTTGCGCAGAAGCAATTGAATAGTGACGCGGTTTGATAGGAGTGACCATTTGTACCAAATCTTCCACAGGTGGTTTTGCCGAGGTAAACTCAAATAGTAAATCGACGTATGTGATTGTATCAGCAACGCGACGCTTAAATTCTTCGGCACCCTCCTTGCTCGCTATCCACAACAGTCGATCTCTCTCGTTCTCGTTCGTGGCATAAAGCGACAAAGACTCATAGAAACGCTTTGACGGTCGGCCAAATATATCAAGGACCTGAGAGAACACTTGAAATATGGTTCTCGTCTCATATCGATTACCCTCTTTGTTAGGAATTGAAATAAGGTCATCGGGATTCAACCCGTAGTATTCTAAGAATTGATTGACCTCCTCTGGATCATTATGACCGTATACACCAAGAGCCTCGCCCAAATCATACTTCAAGTCTGTTCCTGTGGTGTCAAATTCAATATGGAACAGATACCGGTCATACGTTACGGGTGTTAGCCGTCGGTTCTCAGATACACGAATGACGTAAGTTTTCTCCGCAACATCAGGTCGAGTGAGTTGATCCGTGCCGTATGCTTCTTTGAAAAGAAGGTTTTGCGCTACCGTGTGCCAGTTGAGGTGTTTGGGCCCTTCGATCAATGGCTTATCGAAATTTCTTCCAAAGGAATTGTTGTCGACAAACGATGGTAAAATTTGATCGGTCTTATCCAAAATTTGCCATGTCGGCGGAAGTTCGACACGAGCGAGTGCTTTTCCGGTCTCCTGAATGATGAAGCGAACCTGTGATCTAATTTCTTTTTCGCCATTACCATCATAAAAGTCGGCTATGGAATCCTCCAGACTACGATCAAGTTTGAACTTGCCATTAAAAATAATCAAAAAGGCAACTTGCAAAATGATACTAGTGCCGACTTCTGTGCTCAAGTTCAAATCGTTGACGAATTTTTCGGCATCAATGACATATAGTTGTATGTTACGTTTTGAAGCTTCGTATCTAAAATCGTTGGGGAGTTTTGTTTCTAGGTCATCCATGGTCCAGCTTGTATTTAGAAGGACAATGGCACCACTTTTGGCGTGTGCTAAAGTGTCATATTTCGCGGTTAAGCTAACATCATGAATGGAAATAAAATCGATACCAGTGTTGGCATCGTATATTCTCCCATTGTTGACTCTGTTCCCGAATTGTAAATTAGTGGTCGCAACTCCGCCATGATTAAAAATGTCAAAGGTGGAGAGACTCGACACATTTAAAGGCGTGTGATACGCCAATATGTGAGCAATATGTCGACTGGACGAAAAAGTTTCCCGAGATTCAGCATCCCAAAAGGTACATTGTTTTACATCGGTCGAGATTGGTTGAATGTCGAGGCCATCATTCTTATTCGACAGGATCTCATCAAAATCAACAATACCGCCAGTTTCAACTTGCTTAATAAGCAAGCTAACGGTGCTGAAGTTGAATCGTTGCGATGGATATTTAACGTCCACTAGTTCGGGATGGGATCCAGTAGAATTGATCCAAGCGCCAGACAACGTGGCGACGACGTCGCTGAATAGTGAAGAGCTCGCATTGCGAGAGTAATTGACATTCGAAGGAACCTGTTCCAGGACCGCAACACGTTTCGCTGTCCTGGGTAATACTTCCAGAAAATGGTTTTCCGACCACGGCCTGTAAACTCTAACGATGATGGCACCAACATTACTACCGCTCTGACTGATACGCTCCACGGTTTCCCTCACTATCGTTGTTCCGCCACCGTAGATGATCAGCAACGTCTCAGCGGCAGGCGAACCGACATATTCAAACGCATGATACCGACGTCCAATGGCTTTTCCAACTTTGCTTGCAACTTTCTCAAATATATCCACGATGTCGCCTGTAGGCCAATGATTTGCCGCCGAGAGAATCTCTGAACTTATTCTAGATATCTTGGAATACGACAAAAGGTCAATCTGAGAAAACTCGTGGGCTGTTCTCACCCCATCGAAAATATGCAACATCGGAGATTTCGTGGACATGGAAATCAGATGAGTTATCAACGCGATGTCGTGAATTTCCTGTGTAGAGTATGAATTGATAATTCCCATTCCCGTGTCACGTAACAAAAGTACGTCCGAATAATCGGTCAAATTCTCCAAGTTGTCATCATAACTATGAGCGGAAACATGAATTGCTAATGAGAGTCTCTTTCGTGAGATACCGTACAGGTTTGGGATCATCAAGACGATTGATTGTGATGATGAAAAGACTGAAATAATTTCACTCGAGTCCACAAAAGAAGCGGCACCCAAAATTGCCGTCATGGCTCCCGAGCGAGTGTCCATCTGAACGACACTGCAAACCTTTCCGAAAGCATTCAATTCATCCCGAGCAGACCATTGCAAGGTGACTTCCCCCGGATAATGATATCGAGTTGTGGGGTAAACAAAATTAAAGCTGCTCAGAGCGTAGGCCACATGCGCGACTGCCGTTTTACCATCCACAAACTTCTTGCCGCCATTGGTGAAAGCGTCGTTACCCGTAATACTTGATTTGATGGATAACGTGGAGTTATCATTCAAGTCTCCAACGGTTGTGGAGGACAACGACGAGACATCAGACTTATCTAACTCGATATTTTTGTGTTCTGCGATCAGTCTATCGATGTCTTCTTGGGTAAGGTCGGCGAGCTCGTTGAGAGGCAAGGAATCTGTGATTTTGAACAGAGCGGAAGCATTACCCGCCCCAAGATTTTGTCTGATCAGGGCAACATTATCAATTGCAGACGTTATATTCTTCGGTAAACTTTCGATGATGTGTTGCCTAAGCTTTCGCGCGACCTGCGAGCCAGTTCCGTTTGTGGATATGGCGACCTGAAGATGGCCTTCTCGATAGGTTGGCATAAACAAGAAATCACATATTTGAGGTATTTCGGCGACATTAACCGGTATTCTTAGTTCGCGAGCAATTGCTGCGATTTCCTTCGACAAGCTTACATCATCAACAGCGGAGAGGATGAGGTCAACGGGTATCTCATTTTCGTCAATCAGGTGTTTTCTTTCGAATTCGCTATTTTTGTGCGTAACCGTACGTTCTACTATGTATTTTCTGATTTTGTTGGAAGAGATATTTTTAATTGGCGTTATCAGGGTTATCTTTCGTGGTCTTGCGTTCAAAACGAATTCAATCCGGTTCGCTGCAATCTGGTTACCACCGATGACAAGAACGTGACGATCTTGCAAACGCCAACCGACTATCAAGGAACCATTATTTTGTTTATTCATAGCTTCGTTTCCCGTTGGAAAGCTTTTTTTTTTTTGGCATAAACGACCGATATTTAAATTATTGAAATTATGGCGAATTATTGCGTGCTCGATAAAATTTCATCTACAGTTACACTAATTTCCTTTTTTTTTACAGAATCCGCAATATCTTTTTTTCGCGCTAGCATAATTGAATTTAGAATAATTATTATTTTGGGGCAAAACACCGTTTTTCACATGTGCTGTAGTAAACTCCGCCAATAAACATCGAAAGATATCAAACGCCGAGATGTCTTTTTAATTTTCTATGAATCCTCAGAATTAGTAATCAACTGATTTGGTATTTGAATTAATGAGTATATGATCAAGTTCCATGTTATCTAAATAAATATTTGGTATACTAAAATATCAATATTTTAACTTTATATGATCGAGTTTCATGTTATCAAAAAAACAAAGTACAGTAAATCTCCCCGATATATATTCTCTCTGAATGCACGCATTATGTTTTTCCTTTTTAATATAAGGGCGAAACGAATTTTCAAATTTATATAGTTCTTAATGAACAATACATACATACTTTTCTTAATAATTGAATTAATCAATAAATAATATAATAATAATCAAATAATTTTTTTTTTTTTTTTTTTTTAATTCACAATCATATCATAATAGTTTGTCTTTATTGAGAAATTAAAGTAAAATTGATGAATTATTTATGATTGTTGGAAGATATTAGCAAAAAAAAAATTTAACACAAAATTTAGCAATATTGTGGCAAAAAAAATACTGTGTAAAAAATTTGACAAAAAAATTGATACTATATAAAAAATTTGGTAAAAAAATTGATACTATGGTAAAAAATTTGACAAAAAAATTACTGTAGCAAAAAATTTGGCAAAAAATTAATACTATGGTAAAAAATTTGATAAAAAAATTATTGTAGTAAAAATTACAAAATCAATTATTAAATTATTTGCTATTTTCCTATTTCTCCTCTTCTTTCTTTTTCACTTGCTTTTCTTTTCCATTTAAAGATCTTGACTTGATTCTTTTAAAACTAACTTCAATTAGTTTTATCTTGTCAAATATTTCTAAGATTTTTCACTTTTTTCTTCTAATCTAACTGTCTCTCAATTTTATTCATTCATACACTTTCCTTAATTTGTTTCTTACCTTCTGAATATATTAATGATTCCTTATATTCAGTAATTTTTTGTTCTTTAGATTTAACTATTGATTTTTTTTCTTTTTCTATCTTTTTTTTTTATTCACGTTCAGAAATTTCTTTCAAATTGTATGTCCAATTTAACAAGTCTTCTGATAACATCATGTTATAGAAATATGAATCATCATAATATAGTTTACAAGTTGGCTAGAATACTTGAATTAATTTCAAATATTTATCCAAATATTTCAACAAATCCTTTAACTATAAATAATTATGATTAATATTGTATTATTTGACATAAAATATTTTACTGAAAAATATCTCTTCAGAACATTAACTGTAATCATATATATTTATTCTTTTAGTGGGGTTTCTCAAATTAGTCTTGTTTTCTTCAAATGAATATATCTTTGTTTCCTTAATTACATCAATTAATTCATTCGGATATTTGGTAACTTTCTTTGATCTTCATTCAACAAGTGACTATATACTTTTAATTCTTCATATTCTTTTCTTAATTATTTGTTAAAAATTAATACTTGAAAGTAATATAAATATAGAATATTATTAATCTTACTTTGTTTAATCAACTATTTACATGTAAGTAACAATTGTCCACTTCTAGTTTTTCAGTTTCTACTTTCTGATATCTTTCTATCTAATGACAATGTAAAGTACCTAACTATTCATTTATTTACTTTCATGAAAGATTAAAATATAAGGTCATGAATTTTATTAATTTGGATATCAACTTTTGTAATATTTTTTTATTCATATAACTTGAAAAAACTTCATCTACTTTTAGTTTATATTCATCAGAAATAGTTTTTATTAAGACCTTCATTTCTTTTTTATTTTTTTTGATTTTGGCTTATTTTCAGTAACCAGTTTTGTTTTTTTATTTCTTTTCCTAGATTGAATTATTTGATATTTTCCTAAACTCAACAAACTTTCAGATTCTGATATATCAGTTACTCTAGATTTTACAATAACTATAAAATTACTGTAAATTCAGATTCTATAGATTTGAGTTGATCAATTTTCTTTTTTAAATCTTCTTTTCATTTTTTTACTGTTTTAATTCTTTGAAAAACTTGTTAATATATTTTATCAGATTTAATTGTTTTATAAATTCAGCATTTTCTCTTTCTAGTTTTTTGATCCATATATATACAGTAATTCTTCATTTTCTAAATAAATTATTTGATTAATAAAAATAAATTTTAATAATTTAACAATAATTTAATTCTAACATTTTTCAATATCCTTCCTGATTCAAGTTTAAGATAGCAATTCAACTTTTGATATTGATATTTGTGTAATTTTAGATATCAATATTTTAGACAATACAATAAATGATCTTCTTTTAAACAATTCAGCAGTCATAGTAAGAATTGAAGATTTGACACTAGATATTACTGAACAAACTGTTGTCACTTCTAATACAGTTGATACAAAAAAAGTTTATAATAATAGGGATGATTGTAAAGGTTACAAAGGTAAAGGCAATTGTTCTCTATAAAAAGTGTGTCCAGTTGGTTTTTTTTGTTTAAACATTTTAGGTATCAGAAAAAAATATTAAATTAAAAAAATATTTAAATAAAATTATTTATATTGTTTTAATCCAATTTGGGATTACAGTATATACAATATTATACTATTATCAAGGAACGAATTCTAACTCAACTTATCATATATCTTTGGCAACAAGGCAAAGGGATTAAAGAAGATCTCCTATAACCCTATATCAAAAATAAGCTTATGAAAATTATCTAGAATCCTGAAAATCAACATAAATCAGGACAACAACCAATGAAGATCATTAAACAAAAAGACAATGAATCAACAATAGATAATGAAGTAACAATGATATGTGCACAAGAGATCAAAGAACTGGAATCACAAAAACTCCAAGAAACAGTTAAAAAACAATGCATTAGTGAACATAGCTCTTATATAATCAAGAATAGAGATATAATATCACCAATGAATCCTTACTTTATTAAAAAGAAAGAAGAGTATAAATTGGGTGCAATGATGGCCAATATTCTAGGAGAAACAGAAAATGAAACCAAGGCATATCTAAGCAATGCTCTAAAACTTACATAAGAAAAAAGAAACCTGTTACGAAAAGAATTTATCAATGGAAATGAGTGGTTAGTTTTTTGGGTACAAGAGAAAAAAGATGCCTAAGATGTATTGAAGAAGTTAATCGGAAGGAAGACAACTTCATCATCCAAAATATAACATCATTGACCATTCACAAGAAACAAAAGATAGAAAAAAATCTAGTCAGAAAAGTTTTTCATAAATCTAAAACCAAAGAAGACAGTACTATCTGGCATGTATGTTTAGTAGATGTGGGCAGAAAAACACTAAGAAATTTATAAAAGCACATCTAAAAAGATATGGAGAAGTCCAAAACATTAATATCTATAAGGTGAATACAAAACCACAGGTGAAAGCCTATATTAAATGGCACAAATATCTCAGCCTAAATTCTGAAGAAATTTGGATGACTCCAATCAGTACAGAAATGTCAAGAGCTATATTCTCCAAGTCTGAGCCTAGTGATAATGAAATCAATCAGATATTAATTGAAAGAAATGATAACTCAGCAAGACTCTTAGGTATTGACAAAAACTATACCAGTCTAATAGCCCAAGCATTATACAGTACACAAGCTAAGGCATGCTACATATCCAAAAATTTCTATACACTTAAGAAGCATAACTTTACAGTAGTTTGCTTTAAGACAAAAGAAGAAAGAAACAAGGTATACAAACAACATATCTTTTTACAAGAATATCGCCTCTCATGGAGTATTAAGCATATATCCAAAACTGAAAGATGGAATCCCAAAAATAAAGATAGAAATACAAGTTTCAGTCCAGAAATATAGAAATAGATAATGAATCAACACCTGAATCACAATCAGATAATGAATCAACAGAGTTTACTTCTAACTCAGCAAGATATCATAGTTTCAAAAATTAAAAACAGTTTAGGCAGCGAAGCAATAATAGAATAAGGCATGAAAGAAACAATAGAAAAGAATACACTGCATCAGACACCCCTATACACTTTGTTACTGGTAGTAATAGAGAGTCAATAAATCAACATAACAGAAGAAAAAGTTTGCAAAATAGGTTGCAAAGCTCTTATCTGGAAAGTGAAGGTGATTAAGATCCCTTATGCCAGATTTTGCACAATCTCAAGTAATTAAATAATAGGATAAATATAATCGAGGAGAAAATAGGTAACCAGAATAGGGTAAGAGGAAGTTGGTGAAATAATTACTCCTAAGAAGCATCAGTCCAATCAAGATATATTAGGAGAGAGTCTAATGTACAAGAGGAATCAAGCTCATCCTGTAAAAAAGAAGTAACCATAGAAACAATAACAGAAACTAATACAACTCTTCCTAATAAAACACATACCACACTACTTAATGATTTCATTAGTACGATTAAAAAGAATACCATTAATAAACTAGATAAAGAATAAACACTGTATAAAAACTATATCATTGACAACTCCATACTAGGCAATACTATTATTATTGAAACACGTAATATTAGAGGCATCAATACTAGACTTGAGCAACAAAAACTATTTAGACTCATACAAGATCTTGATATAGATATCCTAGGGATCTGTGAAATTAAACTTATAGAAAAAATAGTAGACTTTGCCTTTAACCTACAACAAATGCACAAATTCTTTCACAGCTATAATAATGAGAAACCCAAAGGTCTGGAGTAGGGTTCCTTATCAGAAAAAATATCGAAAAAAAGTTGGAATCAATTGAAAGAATAG